GCCAAACACTAGTAAATTTATGAATGAATGTTTGTATGAACATCCGTACGAGAATTCTGATCAGTACATTTGATGACTGGACAAGTGTCATTCAAAAGTACTCTGCTCAAAAAAATTAAAGGAACACTTTGAAAAACACATCAGATCTCAATGGGGAAAAATATCATGCTGGATCTCTATACTGATATAGACTGGGTAATGTGTTAGGAATGTAAGGATGCCCCATCGTGTGATGGAAATAAAAATTATCAACCTACAGAGGACTGAATTCAAAGATACCCCAAAAATCAAAGTGAAAAAAATTATGCAGTAGGCTAGTCCATTTTGCTGAAATTTCATTGCAGCAACTCAAAATGGTGACCATTCAATGGTATCAATTCCTTCATCCTCCAGGAACTGCCTGCATACTCTCGCCACATGAGGCATTGCATGCACCAGGAGGAACCCAGGACCCACTTCACCAGTGTAGGGTCTGACAATGGGTCCAAGGATTTCATCCCGATACCTAATGGCAGTAATGGCAGTTAGGGTACAATTGTATAGCCTGTAGAGGTCTGCGCGTCCCTCCATGGATATGCCTCCCCAGACCATCACTAATACACCACCAAAACAGTCATGCTGAATGGTGTTACAGGCGGCATAACATTCTCCACAGCTTCTCCAGACCCTGTCACGTCTGTCACATGTGCTCAGGGTGAACTTACTCTCATCTGTGAAAAGCACAGGGTGCCAGTGGTGGACCTGCAAATTCTGGTGTTCAGTGGCAAATGCCAATTGAGCTCTATGGTGCCGGGCAGTGAGAACAGGGCCCACTAGAGGATGTCGGGCCCTCAGGCCTCCCTCATGAAGTCTGTTTCTGATTGTTTGATCAGAGACATTCACACCAGTGGCCTGCTGGAGGTCATGTTGTAGGGCTCTTGCAGTGCTCATCCTGTTCCTCCTTGCACAAAGGAGCAGATACTGGTCCTGCTGATGGGTTAAGGACCTTCTATGGCCCTATCCAGCTCTCCTAGAGTAACTGCCTGTCTCCTGGAAACTTCTCCATGCTCTTGAGACTGTGCTGGGAGACACAACAAACCTTCAGGCAATGGCATGTGTTGATGTGCCATCATGGAGGAGTTGGACTGCCTGTGCAACCTCTGTAGGGTCCAGGTATCGCCTCGTGCTACCAGTAGTGACACTGACCCTAGCCAAATGCAAAACTAGTGAAAAACATTCAGAAAAGATGAGTAGGGAAAAAATGTCAGTGGCCTCCACCTGTAAAAACCATTCCTGTTTTGGGGGTCATCTCATTGTTGCCCATCTAGTGCACCTGTTGTTAATTTCATTAACACCAAAGCAGCTGAAACTGATTAAAAACCCCCTCTGCTACTTAAAGTGGTGTTCCACCTGAAAAAAAAAAACAAAAACTGTAGCTGCTGACTCTTAAAATACATCCACTTACCTGTCCCTTAGTCCAGTGGTGTCCTCACCACCGCTGGTTTCACTTGCCGTCTTCTCTCCCTGGCGCTGGCATCTTCAGTGTGGGCACCCAGCTGTGACAGCTTGCAGCTTCACAGCCGGGTGCCCACTACGCATGCGGGAGAAGCACTGCGCTTTGTGAATGGCCCCATAGCCTTGTCATGTGTCCCAGAAGACTACAGGGAGGGAGGGGGAAGGACAACTTCTGTTTCTGATCGCCTAGGCTATCGCAGCAGCAAGTGGGAACGGGTACCTGTCAAATTCGGGTGCCCACTCCCTAAAGGTGCCAATCCTTAATGGGGAGCGGGGGACAAAGGTTTAACTGACCGGATCGATATCCCAGGAGCTTAACTGACTTGATGCTATACTCTGATTATAAAGTGTTCCTTTAGTTTTTTTGAGCAGTGTACTTCAAAATGTAATTTGCTTTAAATATTTGATCGTGGGATGGATGCAATATACCCAACGAAAACCAAATTTTACTGCGAGAAATTAATTAATTTGAGAAAAAATTTCCATTCTGCTTATTTGAATTTTCTCATCACTGTGGTAGGAAACGATTGTTGATTTGACCTCATTAACGATTCAAAAATGAACAAAAGCTAGAAAAAGTTTTTGAATGAAATTCTTCTAGTGTATGGCCAGCTTTATAGCTGCCTATTTAAAAAAAAAAAAAAAAAAGCATTATTTATTATGTATAAACCACTCGCTAAAAAAAAAACTTTGTTTTCAGAGTGGAAGAGAGAGATTCTGTCACAAATGACAATTTTTTTTTTCAATGCAAAGTTGTTGCTGTGCCTTGTAGTTTGCATATGTTCCTGGTTACTGTTTATCATAACAAACCTGTTGCAGGACTTGTTCAGATTTATCTAGGAGTGGAGTAATGCAAATAAACTACCGGGATATATCCAACGAGGAGTACAACTGCTGTTTGTTTGTAGCAATGAAGGCTCTGTTTGTTTGATTTGCATGGACTTTTACATTTCTACTAAAACCTTCCCCCACTCCAGGATCTGCCTTATGTTATTATTATAATACAGGATTTATATAGCACCAACACTTTGCTCAGCGCTTTACAATATAACAGGAGACAATACAGCAACAATACAGTTCAATACAAGAGGGTTAGGAGTGCCCTGATCCTGGGAGCTTGCAATCTACTTTTATTAATACAATCTACTGTAATAGAGAGGATACTGTTTTTGCATCAAATGTTACCTTGCAAACGTTGTCATGTGCAATTATCAGAACTTACGAAAGCGCACCTAAAATTGCAAAACAAAAATGGAATATATCACATGCCCTAGATTTGGTGACTTCATTTGTTTTATTTTTTCAGGCCTTTTTCCCTTTTTTCTCACCCGGTAAAGCTTGGAATAACACACTTTCTGTCCCATCATGTCTATACTAAGAGCCAAGTCACACTGGGTGCGACTTGCCAATGCGATTTGCCATGCCATGGGAGTTTCAACTCGCATGGCAAGTCACACCCTGTTGTCCGCAGTTAAAGTGGTCATATCGGTGCGGTTCCGACTTGGTCAAAGCCGCACCGATTTCTAAAGTAATGCATGCACTACTTCAGGTGCGACTTGCATAGATATCTGTGTCTTGCAAGCCGCAGATGTTTTGCAAGTCGAATCACAAGTCACAATGACATCTGACTTTGAAATCCTGCGACTTCACTGGAAGCCACGTGATTTCAAAGTCGGATCGTTGTGACCGGAGACTAACTTTTCCACTGCATCTATGTAGAAGGTCATTGTTGTCACACAGACTGGCCTTCAAACATGTCTTTCTATGTTCATCTCCAGTACGTCGTGCATTGGTGGGATTAGTGGTTTATAAAAGAGAAATTATATTGTTTATGTTATCTCTTTAGCTCATAGGAAGTGACAGGGACACTGCATTTCTAGTAAGATCAATAGGTATTTTCTGTAATTGCTGAAAATATTCTTTGCCTAAATAAAGAAAACATCTCTTAGTAGTTAGCCACATTGAACTGGACTTGTTCTGTAATGTTCAACATTACAGAACAAATCCATCTGAATGTGAATAAAGCTGGCCTCACACTAGTGGAATTTAATTTGAAATTTTTAATTTTTGGAATGTTATTTTCATTTTCTAATCATTAGTGGGTCAAATCAACATTAGTAGTATTGAGAAAATTAAAGAGTAGTTGGAAAGTTTTTCGCAAATTTCCAGCAATTATTGTGCTTTTTATTCTTTTATTCAGGAAATTACATTAATTCTAAAATTGCATGGTAAAGTACAATCAAATGACATTCATTTAAAGTGTTTCTAAACCTCCACCAGTAAAGTCAGTCTGTATATGCAGTAAAGCATGCTTGTTATACTCACTGTAGAACCTAAGGGGTTAATCATCTGCATTGTGTAAAAAGGCCATTTGATGCTGACTTCTCTGACTCTCCTCTTGTTCAAATGTCCCCACGTCTTTTCTATTGATAAGACAGACTGAACCCGTAGCCACATGCACATGGTTAGTTTGGTGTGTATTGCTATAGAGGGTTTTTTCTTCCTTGGGAGAGTGTATGTGATCAGCAAAGGGCCAATCAGCACTGTCTAGACAGGGGTCTTGGGTTCTGCATCCTCCTAGAGCAGAAAGAAAGCTCCTCCTACAAGCTTTAACCAGTGCTCTGCTGAACTTTGATAGAAGTCACAAGACTGCTCTTGCTGCTGATGAGAAAAGGTATTTAGCAGTCTATATTTACTAAAATAATTGCACTTCCATGTTGTGTGTACTGTGGGAGACCAGATAGAGTGGATGCAGGGTCCTGGGTTTAGTAACACTTTAAGTCTCTGTAGGCAGTGTGGGATGTGCTGAGAGATTTTTTCATACCAATGTTTATACAAAAATCAACCAGTGTAAGGCCAGCTTAACCACTACTAGTTTCAACATTACAGAACACATCCAGTTGAATGTGACTAACTACTGCTAGATGTGCCCTGATCTGGGGGACCTTCACAGACATAATGCAGCTACCATATCTAAGGACTGGTAAGCTGCAATATATTGCATTTATGTTTTTTGGATTTAGTTATAATAATGCAAGGTGAAACACAGTATTTTGGATTCATTTATAGCTTATTTCAAAGCAAAACTGTCAACACAATAAAAGATGACTGCTGATTGGTTATGTAGCTTACTTTGTACATGGCTCTTTGCCTTGTTGCAAAATGCCTACATCTACTTTATATATCAGCTCTACATATTAACCTAAACATTTTTTTTTTCTCTTCCAGAAATCAACTAGATTCATTACTGAAATCATATAATTGCTATTTCAAGGACCAAAAGAACCTACACATAACATACCACCATGTAAGTCGTATAGTTGTAAATTGCATTTGTAGGTCCACATTGTTTCATAGCTTACCTAGTATGTTTATAGTTAGATTTGTGTGTGTCTATTGTCTTTTCACTTCGTACATTTCAGTTCGTAGTTAACCTCTTTAGCAGCGCCCCATAGCAGAAATACTGCTGCAGGATGGCAACGGTGCGCAAAATCATGTAAATATACATGATTTTGCATTTCCAGGTAGGGGGATGCGCACAAGCCATGCGCACGCCCTACCCGTGTCACCAGTCACCATTCATGGCCTCAGCTGTCAATCACCAGGTCCCGGCCGGTGATTACTCGCCGGTGCCCAGTGATTGCTAAGCATCTCAACCGGGGAGGGGGGGGGGGAACTGTTTGTAAACAAAACAGATCTCTCCCCTGTCAGCTCCTGCACACTGCTTTGCATGGCTGTGTGTAGCAGAACCATGCAAAGCAGTGTGCTTATAGTGAAGCACAAACACAGCACACAGTTATAAACGGCACACAGTTAACCCTTTGATCACCCCACATATTAACCCCTTTCTGCCCAGTGCCATTAGTACAGTCTCAGTGCTTTTTATTAGCACTGATCACTGTATTGGTGTTACTGGGGATGTCAGTGACACCAAGTCACTTCCCCCCCAGCGTCAGAATGTCCGCCACAGTCCTGCAGTCCCACTATAAGTCGGTGATCGCCGCCATTATTAGTAAAAAAAAAAAAAAAATTAAAAAAAAAGCCTACTATAACTTTCACGTAAACCAATTAATTTACATGTATTGGGATTTTTTTTAGCAAAGTCATGTAGCAGAATACATTTTGGCCTAAATTTATGACGAAATTAGATTTTTTACATTTATTTTACTGGACATGTTTAATAGCAAAAAGTAAAAAATATTGTTTTTGTCTCAAAATTGTTTGGTCTTTTTTTTTATAGTGCAAAAAATAAAAACGCACAGGCGATCAAATACCACCGAAAGAAAGCTTGGGAAAAAAGGAGAGAAATTTAATTTGGGTGCAGCGTTGCATGACCGTGCAATTGTTCATTAATGTAATGCAGCACCGTAACACAAAAAAATTACCTGGTCAGGAAGGGGGGTAAATCCTCTGGAGGGAAAGTGGTTAAAGTAAACCTGAAGTCTGAAAAATTTATATCTTTTAGGGAACATCTAGAAAAGTTAATTGTGTCTAAGCAGTAACCTTAAGGGAGAAGTATAGTCAAAGCTCTTTAGGCTGTACTTCTCCTATGGATCACAGGAGTGCAGTTCGTTCTGCACCCCTGCGACTTGTGTTCAGCCAAAAGCGGGCCTAATCACCTAATCATCTAAGCAACCTATTTAGAAGGGGGCTACATATAAAATGTAGTAGCAATTTCTGCAAAATCAGATAAAACTCCAGACTTGGACTTCTGAAGGAAGCAACTAGTTTATTAAAAACAGCGCTGTTTTGACTCAACAGACGGCTTATGCCCTCATCTGCTAAGTTAGTTATAGAAAACATCTTACAAGCCTATATACCAACGATTACTTCACAAGGCATACATTCCTTTCCTACTTTCTATGCACTCAAAAGGCTTCCTAAACTCTACAGAATAACCTTGGCGAGCAACTAGAGATAAGAAATACCAGCTGCAGACCTGTACATTGGAAATAAGGGAGGGGGGAAGATGAGCGAAAAAAACCTTGCTTCTACAAACACAGGCTACTAGAAGTGTTAGAGTTTAAAGGGGAGCTCTACAACATCTGTAAAACATCTGGGTCCTACCATAATATAACTCTTAAAGTGTCACTAAATGCTCCATGTTTTACTCATTTCCAAATCAGCATTGATTATTATTATACTGCTGCACTTTCTTAAAATTCAAATACCATTTTTCTTTTCTGTTAAACAATCGCTCTGCACAACCCATACAGACCCTTATTTGTGATGTGGTTATGAGCAGTTCATATCTATAGCATGGTTGAACATGCATGTATATTTTCATTCGTTCAAATTCAGGTTTTCCTGGTTCCGTGGGTGGTGCTGTGTAGGCAGTGTATTTGTAGTGCTTTTACCTTACGGTATTAGCTGTAGTCCTAATCAGGAGTTCATAGAGGAGGGTGGCTACATTCCCAAAGTGGGACCATGTAAACTGAAAGTAGCCACTCTCATAAATATTTTGAAAAATATTTTTTATGAATGTGCTGTTCACTGCTGCTATTAGAAGTAACACTTACAGCTTCAGGTACTGAACTTAATTTTTTTTAAAACTCAGGTTTGGTGTCACTTTACAGCAGGTGATGAGATGTAGGCCACAGCAACAACTTACTGGAAGTTGGTGTAGAGGTACAGTAGGTCCTGAATAATGTGAATAGCAGCAGAGATCAGATTACACTGACTACTGAATGACTGTGATTGAAAGTCAGAAGTATCGCATATTTTTAAGAAATTTATATTAGGATTAGGATCATCAGAGTATGCATTATGTATTTGTTGCCCAAAAGTAAATATGCTTGTATATCTAATTGCAGGAGGCTAAAGGACAGATTGTTTTATCTGGACTTATTGAGATATTCTGGGGAGTTCAGCGACCCCATACGATTCAAAATGCAAGATGAGAGAAGTATTTCCACAGAATCAATCCAACTTCCAGAGGTCATAGGATCAAGTATAACAAAAAGGTAAATCCTGTTTCTGTAGGCTCATAGCTGCAAATCTACTGTGTAAGATAATATAAGACATACCCTGCCCACTCTTGCCTCCGATTATTGCTATTCTCGTGAGATCTGGGGTGTCTACCTGAGCACTGTAGTGATAGTTGGTGTCTACTGCTCATTGCTTTTCTTAGGGTCTGCTGGAGGGGAAGCTGCACCTGAGGACCTGCAGTGCATTCACTCTATGGCTCTATTCTTCATTTCTTCTGATGCCTGCTGATGCTTCTCCACTAATTTGATACTGCTGTGTGAAGACCCATCGATATTCTACCTCTCTTGCTTATTTATCATTTCCCCCTTAAGCTTCATGTGCACGAGCCTACCCTGTCTGCTGGCCGCAGGAAACCGCAAATCATGGCAAAAACGCAGTACCACAGTTACTGCGTTTTGCCGTGGTTGATTTTCCCACAGTCAAAACATTCCTAACCTGAACATGGTTCTTCTGCGTTCAGGAGAGGGAGGTTTAACCTCACCTAAATGCGGCAGCTCCTAAACTCTGCTAAAAGCCTACAGTATGTGTACATGGACACATAGGCTTTTATGGAGTTGAGTTTAGGAGCTTTGCAAAAAAATTCCAAAGGCTCCTAAATTTAAATTTAGGAGCTGCTCGTGTACATGAAGCCTTAGGCTTCATGAGCAGCTGATAGGAACGTTTTGACCGCCAACTGAGGGAAAACGCAAAATGTGGTAAAATCATGGCAACTGAGGTACCATGTTTTTGCCGCGATATGCGTTTCCTGGTCAGAGTAGGCTCATGTACATGAAGCCTTAGGCCCTTAGAAAAACAGTCATTGCTAGGGGGTGGGGGGAGCTGACATAAGAAGGCATAAGAATGTCCTGCTCCTCTACCAAGATTGTTACTCCCACACACAGCAGAAAGAGGCATAGTAGGTTGGTCTTGGTGAAAAGATCAGCTGCTGAAAGGGTCTCCAAGGGGCATGGTTTAAAAGAACCTGAGCCTACTCTCTTTATACATGATACATATGCCACAGTCCTTATATCCACACAATATGCTGTAATCAGGCGTTTGTATTGCACGGGGTGCAAGGCTTGGGTGTGCGTATCACACAGGATGAAGGACTCAGGAGTGTGTATTTTACAGGGTTCGGGGATCAGGTGTGTATGCCATAAGGTAGAACAGTGTGTATCGCATAGAGCACAATGCTCAGGAATGTGTATCACACAGGGCACTGGGCTTAGGATTGTGTAGGGTGCAGGGCTCAGGAGTGTGAATCGCACAGGGCACGAAGCTCAAGAATGTGTATCACACGGAGTGCAGGGCTTTGGAGGGTGCAGAGCTTGGGAGAGTATATCACACAAGGTGCAAAGGTTGGGGGTGTGTATCGCACAGGGTGCAGAGATGGGGGGGGGTGTATCGCACAGGGTGCAGAGTTTTTGGGAGTGTGTATCGCACAGTGTGCAGGGCCTGGGAGTATGTATCACACAGGGCGCAGAGCTTAGAAGTGTGTATTGCACGGGGTGCAGACTTGGGAATGTGTGTGCAATGCATAGGGTGCAGAAATGTGTATCTCACAGGGGGCAGGGTTTGGGAGTATGTAAACACACAGGCCAGTCTACTGCAAAGAGTTACTGCCCATGGGAATCGTGCAGTACAGGACCAGTGCTAGGAAGTGCCAATACTGCTGAAAAATGGCCTATATAAACATACACACCCACACAACAGCACAGTTAGCAATAGCAACATCAGATACCAGTAAACACAGCAGAACCCAGTCCCTCCAGCAAAGAACACATTTATCATCTAAACAGTGTAATTAATCAATGGAGTTTTGCCTACTGTTTTGCATTCACATCAGTTTTATCTACAGAAGATTAGAGCCACAGGCTTCAGTCCCCCAATGGAAAAAACCATCCCATTTATGATGACAGATTTGTCCTCCTTGGGCCTATATTCAACATGTCATTGACTTCTTCAAATCCCAACTTTGAATTCCACTTGAGCTCATAAACACTTTCAATACAACAGGAGTTTTTCATAGAGATGACTGTCCTAACCTCTGTAAAGCAATTTGCCACTCCAACATAGCTGTATTGATGGAATTCAAGGTCCCACCCGTGTCAATTAAGTCAACAGAGCAGTGAGTGGGATGAGGGGGGATTCAGAGGGCAGAAGTGGACGTTTTCAGCTTGGGTATACCTACTCATGGCTTAGTTCACTCCCTGGTTCTTCTCTGCTATTGACCCTACTAAGCTTAATTGCCTCTGGCTACAGGTGAGCTGTGGAGGTATGCAGCTCCAAAGTTTTCCAGCTATCTAGACAAGAGCATGCATAGACCAATCAAAAGTAGATTTTTTTCACCGCCTGCACACCACGACCAATAGAAATAGGTTTTAAGGCAGTATCAGCAGTAGCAATGTCTGTTTTTTTCCAGCAGAATGTCAGAGATAGCTGAGTGCTGTGCATAGTATGTGATACTATGTAGGTGCTGGTACCTGCACGTTCCGGCACAAAAAATCTTTTTATTGACTGACTGGTGCTTGGCATTTTGTGATCTGCTTACAAATCCAATCTAATTCTGTTTGCACCAATTTTATTAAATCTCCCCCAAAGGTTCCAGAAAACAATCATGCCAGTTACAGCAGACTGGCAGGTGTTTTTTACTATATGGGAGGGAGGGTGGGATCTTGTCATACAGGAGTTAGAAGTCCAAAGAGGAACTTGCTCCCATCCACAGGTAATTGTATATCTCTCCACCTAGCCCACCCACCTTAGAACCTAAAGGCGCTAACATAAAGCTATGCTTCAAACCAGGAGCACCTTTCCAAGGCGCAAGTGTTCCTTCAAGTAAATGGGCTCTGAGGTCCAAAACCCCAGTTTCCAGATCAGTATTGCGTCCTTTAATGCCCTGTAGTGACACAAGAGTTTGCACGGAGGAACCATTGATTGCAGCAGGGGAAAAACAATCTGTGTCCTATATCAGTAACACAACAGGAAGTAGGGAAATCAGAAATAAACACTTAACAGAGGTTCTAGCCTTTCTCCATTCTAATGAAAAGGCCTTTTGCTGATGTTGGAGTTCCCAAGGGAGAAATTATTTTTCACTTCTTGTTTGAGTGACAAAAAAAGGTGGAGAAGGGAAATGTTCCCAACACAAACACAGACAACCATAAACACTTGATAGAGGGTTCAAACTCTTCTCCATTCCAAAAGAAAGCCTTTTATTGCTGTATTTTCCCAAGAGAGAGAGTCCTTTCACTTTCTGTCTGGGTGACACAGCAGGAGGAGAAGGAAAATCTTCCTAACATGAACACAGACAGCAATATAAACCCAACAGAGATTTTAATTTTTCTCAGTGCTATTCAAATCTAATAAAAGTCAGGAGTACTGCTTCATCCTTAGAATTTATATTTTCATAACAAATTATTTTGCAGGTATCAGGATTAAGGATATGGACTAGATAGTGCCTTTTCATAATAAAAGAATAAAACTGCACCTAACAAAGTGAGCAAACACTTCTGTCAATATAATAAAGCCAATGCTGTATGGACAATCCTTGATACTGGTACTGCCCAGGTAGCGTGGTACACCGGAGACTGGCTTCCCTATACTTACACCAGTGCTTGTTCACTGCCATTGTGTGAAATTATAAGCTTTTATCAATATATTAAAAGGGGTATATTATTCACTACCCAGTGCGCGCGTGCTTTCCTTTTGTTTCTGACTTTTGTTAATTTGCACAGGGATAAAATAGATAAAGGAAAATCGTATGATATGTTAAGTTATACAGTTGCAAGAAAAAGTATGTGAACCGCTTGGGATTACGTGGAGTTTTGCATGAATTGGGCATAAAATGTGCTCTGAACGTCATCTAAGTCACAATAGAAGAACACAGCCTGCTGAACATAATACTACACAAACATTAGATGTTGCCATGGTTTAATTGCACATAACATGTAAACATTCACAGTGCAGGGAGGAAAAAGTATGTGAACCTTTGGACTTAATAACTGGTTGACCCTCCTTTGGCAGCAATAACCTCAACCAAACGTTTCCTGTAGTTGCAGATCAGACCTGCACAACGATCTGGAGTAATTTTGGACCACTCCTCTTCACAAAACTGTTTCAGTGTAGCAATATTCTTGGGATGTCTGGTGTGAATCGCTCCTTAAGGTCATGCCACAGCATTTCAATCGGGTTGAGGTCAGGACTCTGACTGGGCCACTCCAGAAGGCGTATTCTGTGCTGTTGCAGCCATTGTTTTGTTGAATTACTTGCATGCTTTGGGTCATTGTCCTGTTGCATCAGCCATCCTCTGGGGAGCTTCAGTTGGCGGACAGATGGTCGTACGTTTTCCGGCAAAATGTCTTGATAAACTCTGGAATTCATTTTCCCATCAATGACAACAATCCGTCCAGGCCCTGAGGCCATCAATGACAACAATCCTCCCAGCAAAGCAGCCCCAAACTATGATGCTCCCTCCGCCATGTTTTTTACAGTGGGGATGAGGTTTTGATGTTGGTGTGCTGTGCCTTTTTTTCTCCACACATAGTGTTGTGTGTTCTTCCCAAACAACTCAATCTTGGTTTCATCTGTCCACAGTATATTTTGCCAGTAGTGCTGTGGAACATCCAGGTACTCTTTTGCAAACTTCAAACATGCTGCAATATTCTTTTTGGACAGCAATGGCTTCCTCCGTGGTGTCCTCCCATGTACTCCATTCTTGTTTAATGTTTTCCTTATTGCAGATGTGTCAACAAAAATGTTAGCATGTGCCAGAGATTTCTGTAGGTCTTTAGCTGACACTCTGGGATTCTTCTTTAACTCATGCAGCATTCTGCGCTGTGCTCTTGCAGTAATTTTTACAGGACGACCACGCCTAGGGAGAGTAGCAACAGTGCTAAACGTTCTCCATTTGTAGACAGTCTGTCTTACCGTGGACACATGAACATCAAAGCTTTTGGAGATACTTTTGTAACCCTTTCCAGCTTCATGCAAGTCAACACTTCTTGATCGTAGGTCTTCTGAGAGCTCTTTTCTGCGAGGCATGGTTCACATCAAACAGTGCTTCTTGAAACCAGTAAACCCAAAACAGTGTGTGTGTTTTTTAAGGGCAGGACAGCTGTCGGCAACACATCCAATATCATCACACTGATTGGAGTCAAGGTTGGCTCACTCCTGGCTCCAATTAGCTCTGGGAGAAGTCATTAAGCTAGGGCCTCACATACTTTTTCCTCCCTGCACTGTGAATGTTTACATGTTATATGCAATTAAACCATGGCAACATCTAATGTTTGTGTAGTATTATGTTCAGCAGACTGTGTTCTTCTATTGTTGTGACTTAGATGACGTTCAGAGCACATTTTATGCCCAATTCATTCAAAACTCCACGTAATCCCAAGGGGTTCACATACTTTTTCTTGCAACTGTAAGACATAAGACTACAGATGCAAATAAATTGCAATGTCAACTTGCTGGTATGGTTTTAATTCATCTATTGTGCAATGTAAATTTTAAATGTATTAATAAAAGGCTATCATTACAATGAAAAATTTGAATTTGTATCCCATGCTCAGCTACTGGTCTTTCATTAAAATAATAAGCTTTAACCATAATGGTCTAATATTAAATACACATCTTCTTGTTATGATATAATTAGAGCAATTTATTTTTTTATTCCAGTGGAATGATGCGTTGGGGTGAATTTGATGACCTTTATCACATTGCCGAAATAGAAGAAGCTGGAAAGACTTCTGATAGTGAATCAGACTCGCAGAATGGTAAATATTATGAATCAAAAACCAAAAAAAAAAGCCAGCACTTCCTAAACTGTAAGAGTAGTAACCATTCAATAAACCAATTCACAAATAAATATAGCCTCAGTAGTGCTTACCCCTGAAGGAGCTGTTGTTTTCTCGGGTCCCCTGTTCCCAGTGCCTGCGACTCTTCAAAGATCACTACACTCTCCGACACATCAGGGGTTAGGGTGGATATTTATTGCAACAATACACTATAATACACAATGATACAACAGCCAAAAAAAAATGGAAAATGGCAATAAATTCTACAACAAATAGCAACAATTGCAAAACAGATATGTGAATGACCTCTAATCCCTATACTAGAGAAGGTCCTGTCTAAGAGCATTAGGACAATGGTCTGGGAAGTTTTTGGCAAAATCTCCCTACTGGCCAGTGCGATGAGTCCCAGATTTGGCCATGGGGCATTCAAAATTAAGTTCCTCTGAACCTGCGCATTCGTGCTGGCATGATGTCCTGAACAATCAATACTGTTCCTTTAAACAGGGTGTAGTAGGGTTTGGCCAGTGTCTTCTCACCAACCTTTAAGATGACGACTTGTCTTCTACCATTCTCTGTCTGGCGTTCAGTGGAGTCAACTGTAGTGGCATCCTCCCTGACGATCAGGCAGCATCACCAGGCTCAACAGTGGCATTCCCACAAACTGGGGATGTCCATTACTTAGCCTCTCCGAGTCCCTGATACCATGGTCTCCCACAGGGTTCCCCTTACAACTGCCCCTAGCCCAGGAACAGTCCTTCCTTTTCCTCTCTCCAAAACCCTGATCAAGTTGGGATCTATATTTCCAGGTCCAATGTGTAGTACAAGCTCAGTCTACCTGGGCACTACAATCCCCACAAGTCATAGTTCCTTCCAACAGACTGTCTGTTCCAGAATCTACAGCAACTCAGTTTCCTCTTCTTCTCTGTGATCCCAGATTGTGAGCAGAATTTAGGGTGGCTTCAAACTACCCAAGTGTGGTTCCAATTTATTATGGGCTATGCTTTTCCATAGACTTCAATGATGTCCTGCGGTCTTGGTGCAGTTTCAGAAAGCACACCAAAGATGCAGAATGTAAGCATTTTGGTGCACTTTCTGAAGACCACATAGAAGTCTATGAGAAAGCACAGCTTTCAGCTCCAGGCGTAGCTAGTGACGTCACCTGGCTATGCCCACGTGTTGTGTTACTTGCTCACGTGACTTCCTCAGGGTAAAACCAAGTAGAATGCTTCACAGTCTTACAGAGAAACTTTTTCTCAGAACACAACTGAGTCTGTGATATGTCTCAGTAAACAGTGCCAAGCTGTGCACGGTACTGCTTCTTCCTTCATTGTTCAGTCACCGGCTGTCCAGGACAAACTGGGCTTAGAGGAAGTGGGTTGAATGATGCTGGCCATAAAACTTGGGAAATCTACTAGCAGAAAAAAGTTGGTTTTGTTATTTTAACTTTTAATGGGCTATTCATTTTTATCTTATTTTTGGCTAGAGTTCTTCTTTAAAAATTTCACATCTCTTTACACATATCTTAGTTCTTCCTACTTTCACATTTTAATTTAACTTCTTGTGAATTCTTCCTGTAACCCCTTCAGACTGTGACTATAACAGTAGCACCCTGAAGCCCCACCTTAATGACCATGACCCTGAATCACCGTCTTTATACCGCACTATGAGTGATGCTGCGCTAGTTAAGAAAAGGATTCGTCCAGACACTCCAGACAGAAGTTATCTACAGAAGCACCGGTTTTCCATCAATGGACACTTCTACAACTATAAAGTAAGAGGCTGGAGACCTGATGCTGTTCACAGCAGATGCAGTCCAGTGTTTTTTCTCTGCACCAAAAATGTATGCACAGTATTTCCCATGTATTCCAATGGCCCTAGTTCACACCTGGCAGTCAGTTTCCAGTGCAGAAATAAATGAAGTACATGCTGCATTTTTTCTGCACAGAGCTTTACTAGAACACAGTACAATGCATCAAAAACGCACCAAAACTGTGTGTGGTGAGAACTGTTTAATTGTTTGGCTGTAGTAGGAACATTTCTTTATCAGGTATGTTATGGATATTCTAATTACAGTACAAAATGACAGATCACAGAACCAGTTATGCATTTGGTAATAAATACCTGAAATCTGCAGTTGTAATACAGGTGTACCTCGGTTTACGAACGCCTCAGTTAACGTAATTTTTGGTTTATGAATGAAAATCCATTGAAAATAATGGCTCGGTTTACGAATTTTTATTGCAATACAAATGGATTAATTGGTTTTCAATGCATTTACGATTTTTTTTTTTAATCATGTTCCTGTACAGTACTATGCCTTTAAAGTGCACTTTATAAAGAGTTTTGAACAGATAAAACGTTTTTGACTTTTTTCTGACCTCCGGAATGGATTAATTGGTTTTCATTGTATTTATGAATTAATTTTTAATCATGTCCCTGTACAGTATTTATGCCTTTAAAGTGCACTTTATAAAGTTTTGAACACATAAAATACTTTTTTTTTTTACTTTTTTCTGACCTCCGGAACGGATTAATTGGTTTTCAATGTATTTACAAATTAATTTTTAATCATGTCTCTGTACATTATTTATGCCTTTAAAGTGCACTTTATAAAGAGTTTTGAATTTTAATTGGTTTTCAATGTATTTACGAATTAATTTTTAATCATGTCCCTGTACAGTATTTATGGCTTTTAAGTGCACTTTATAAAGATTTTTGAACCGATAAAAGACTTTTTTTTTTAACTTAAAGTCATAGGGGTTTATTTACTAAAGCTGGAGAGTGCAAAATCAGACTCACTTCTGCATAGAAACCAATCAGCTTCCAGGTTTCATTGCCAAAGCTTCATTGAACAAGCTGAGGTTAGAAGCTGATTGGTTTCTATGCAGAAGGGAGTCTGATTTTGGACTCTCCAGCTTTAGTAAATAAACCCCATAGTGTCTATAAATGGTGGTATATTTGCTGGAATTTTTATTTGTTTTATACTAGTAATGGCAGCGGTCAGCATTCTGACACTGGGTGGGAAACTGACTAACTGCCACTGACATCCCCAGTGACATTAATACAGTGATCATTGCTAATAAAAAGCACTGACACTGTACTAATGACACTGGGTAGGAAGGGGTTAACATCTGGGGCAATCAAAGGGTTAACTGTGTGCTGTTGTGTGTGGTTTACATTGTGTGCTGTTTTACTAAGGAGGCATGCTGTTTTGTATTTCTCTGCTGTGCAGAGAGATACAAAGCAGCATGTCCATGCTGACAGCAGAGAGACCTGTGTTGTTTACACACAGGTCTCTCCCCTGTCAGTTTTGCTGATGATCACCGAGTGCCGACCAGGAGTCGGTGATTGACATCCCCAGCCGCCAATAGCGGCCCCCTACCTGGAAAAGCAAATCACGTATATATATGTGATTTTCCGCAGCCGTTTCGCCCTGTAGCAGTACTTCTGCTATAGGGCGGATGGCAAATGTTTTTAGCATGGTGATGATTACAGCAGTGGCTTGAGTTGTCAAGTTCAACAAAGTCGTACTTCTGTGACATCTAGGAAGTGCACATGCTGACTTTGTCTTCCTCAAAGTTCTAAGATTGCTTTGCTACTCCATGAAATACAAATATAAGCACCTTGTAACCCAAAGCTGTCGGATATTTAAGTAGCAGAACAAAATACTACAGTCCTGAAGATATACAGGTATCTTATTTTAGAGAGACTTACATACAGTTGCATGGACGGGATTGTGAAAGACTTGGGCACCAAGGGAGGGGGAATAGAATGGTGCTGAATGGTGGGTGTGGCAAACTGTTGGGTAGACTTGAGCCTACCTAGTGTATACACAGCACACATATGTCACATGTCTTTAAACTGACTACATAGGCTTTTTATTGCTGTGCCACAAGCAAAAGTCCATCAGACACAAATAAAGATCAGCAAATCCATCAGACACAAAAAGATTCCATTAAAAAAAAACCCTCTCCCATTACATATAGATTTCCGCTTACAGAATACAGACAGAGAATTAATAATTTCCCTGAACCTATGAAACAGCCAATCAATATATAAGAGGAAACTGAGCGGTGCTGCATGTTTGCCTTTGTTTACATTTGTGATTGGTCACAGTGATCATGTCATACAAAGCTAATTTCATTGTCTCTGTACTATCGTGATCCCCTGTGTTTAATGGACACACCAATCACAGGGTGTGCTCTGTGCAAAGCAAAGGAGAGGCTGTTTTAAAATGGCCTCCCATGCTCAGGAAGTAGCTGCCATCCTATGTGTGTTTATAAAAGTTGTATGTTATATTAAAATGTAATTTTAAAGTGGTTGTAAAGCTCAAGCATGAATTATGAACTAAGCATATCCTTCTATAGTTTGTACTTGCCTCAATCCAGGGCAACTAAGTGTCATTTCTGTCTGCTGCCCCATTACTCTGCTATCTGATTAAACACTTCTGACATGTTTTCCTGACACCAAGAGATAAAAGGTGACAGGGAGGGACCTCCAGCACTCCAGCCTGTGATTGACAGCCTCAGCTCTGTTCCTGTGTGCTGTGTGAAGTTGGTGTGTCCCTTACCTCCAATCAGCTCTCAGATCTGCTCACTACATGCAACTACAGCTGCCCACCCCCCCCCCCCCCTTTGAGAAAACTCAGACAAGTTGTAAAATGTCTGCATTTTGAAAGATTTAGAGAAGATATTGCTACAGATAAACAGGTACAACTTATGAAGGAGGATTTTGTGTATCGCCTGATGCCAGTAACATCACTGGGTATATGTGAGGGTTTACAACCATGTATGAGTCCATGCTATTAGAAAATGAAGTGTGTACTAACTGGTATTTTTTCATTCGTAGACATCTATATTCACTCCAGCTTTTGGCTCTGAGACAAAGGTTATGATTAACAGCACTATGAAAACAAAAGAAGTAATTGAGCAACTACTACACAAGTTCATGGTAGGTACCATGTATCCAGTATCCCTTCTTTATTTTGACAAAAATGGTAGTAAGAATGGACTGCTTTAGAATAACATTGGCAGTAACTAAAATAAACACTAGATAGCAGTAACATATGGAAGTAAAGCCAGTCAATTAGACCAAGAAGGTGTAAATGTAAGTTTAAATTATAACAAAGGACACTACTTACAAAAAAAATGTATCCCTGTTAGTAAGATTTCCTTATAATTAAAAAGTTATCCACTAACTTCCTGTTGAATCTACAGTATAGGAAGTGGAGGGAAATCTCCCTATTTAGACACAGATGGATAAAAAAAAAAAAAAAAAGGTTTAGTTTTAGATATACTTTAACTATTTGTCTACTGATGTGCATCTTTAAATAGCAAAGTGATGGACACTTATTTCTGTAGCAATGTTTATAAATGCCACAGCAGAAAAAAGCATTGGGTGGCCATAGACATGGTACAAAGCCAATTCAAGCATCTCTATACCTTGGGATCGCTGTGCCTGATCATAGAGGGACCAATCACAGTGATAACTGATGTAAACAGTGTAGTGAGCCCTCCCCCTTCTCTCACAATGGAAGAAGGAGAGGAAAGAGGAACTAATGAATTATTGAGTCATTTGTTAGTTCCACATCAATGTCCAGACCACAGCAGCAGTAGATTAACGCGGAGAGTTCTACTTGAAAAAAAAAAAAATTTAAGTCAGCAGCTACAAAAACCTCATGGATGAGTTGGACTGCCTGTGCAAGCTCTGTAGGGTCCAGGTATCACCTCATGCTACCAGTAGTGACACTGACCCCAGCCAAATGCAAAACTAGTGAAAAAACATTCAGAAAAGATGAGTAGGGAAAAAATGTCAGTGGCCTCCACCTGTAAAACCATTCCTGTTTTGGGGTCTCATTGTTGCCCATCTAGTGCACCTGTTGTTAATTTCATTAACACCAAAGCAGCTGAAACTGATTAAAAACCACTTAAAGTGGTGTTCACCTGTAAAAAAAATAAAAGAAAGCAGCTACAAAAACTGTAGCTGCTGACTCTTAAAATACAGACACTTACCTGTCGCTCAGTCCAGCGATGCACCACCGCTGGTTTCACCAGCCGTTTTCTCTTGGCATCTTCAGTGTGGGCACCCGGCTGTGACAGCTTGCGGCTTCACAGCCGGGGGCGCACTGCGCATGCGTGAGAAGCGCTGCGCTTTGTGAATGTCCCCGTCGTCTTCTGGGACCTGGTCCCCCCCAAATGTGGCTGTCATGTGTCCCAGAAGACTACGGGGAGGGAGGGGGGGAGGACAACTTCCACTTCCGTTTGCCTAGGTGATTGCAGCTGAAGTGGGAGCGGGTACCTGTCAAATTCAGGCACTAGCTCCTCAAAGGTGCCAATCCTTAATGGGGAGCGGGGGACAAAGACTTAAAGCAGAACTTCCCCTTTTGGGTGGAGCTCCGCTTTAAAGTAATTTTTTTGTATTACCCTGTCACCCCCCCTCCCTCCCAATACATCTGATCTCCATCCTGTCCCTGACCTCCATTAACCCCTTCACCTCTCTTACCCTGGGCACCTGCACATTAACCCCTCATCTCCACCCTCCCACTGTATGTGACCTGTACATTAACCCATTCACCCTCCCCCCCCCCCCCTTGTATGACCAGCATGTGCTGTATCTAATGCATCATTACCAAGCTCCATGTTTTTAACCACCACAATACCAGCATGTTTCTTTCATTTCCAAAACAATTGTAGCAAAAAAAAAATGTGACCACTTTGTGATGTCTGCTTTCAAAAAATGGGTCATTTTGGGGGGTGTTTACACTGTCCTGGCATGTTTTGTTTTACAGAAAGTAAAGGAAATACGCTTTTATTCCAAAATGTTTTGTTTTTTTTTCCCCCATATACACTGAAAGATAAAAATCAGTTATTAAACACCACCAAAGGAAGCCCTATCTGGCTCCAAAAAAATATATGAAATTTATTAGACCTCTGCGGTTCGTTTTATTTTGAATTGAAATCCAGACAAAATTTCATTAATTGGAGATTCGGATGTATCTGAATTTCTGGATTACAATAGTAACAAATGAAATAAAAGGAAACTAAACGAAACAAAATTTAAGAAATGCAATAAGCAAAATTAGTAACCTAAAATGGAAGTAAAGTCTTTTTTTTTTTTTTTTGTAGTAACTTGTACCTACAGGTAAGCCTTACCAGGTAAGGCTTACCTGTAGATACAGTGAATATGTTCTAAACTTGCACAGTTTAGGAGATATTAACTCCGCATGCAGCCAGTGGCGTCACCGTCACATGCGATCTGAAGGGACGGCATATCTGTGCACAGAGCATGCGTGTGATTGACGTCATCACGGCTCGGCCATTCAGATGGCCGGAGCACGTGAACCCGGAAGGAAAACTGGGTGAAGATGGAAGCCCTGTCATTGGTGACAGCGTGCCACTGGAGGGCTTCGTTCTAAGCTAAGTGCTTCATAATGTGCTAATTTGCAATGCATACTAGCACATTATGCCATTGTCTTGCAGGTTTTTTTTTTAAAGGCCACGGTTTACTACCGCTTTAATGAATCGATCCAAAATGAAACAAAACATTTTTTTTTTCGTTCTGAACATATCTAAAATTTATTTGTATGCAGTGTTTCATGACAGAGTGATTGTCTGTCAAACTGTCACAATACTGGGAACCAAAAAATGGCTTGGTAATACAGTTATAATACAGGCTGGTAGTCATCTGGTTAAGAAAAGAGATCCAGGCCAGGCACTTTAACAACCACATGTTATCCAAAATGAAGAGGAAATGCAGGACACTGTGAGAAAGGAGCAAGCTATGAAAAGATTTGACCTATGACCATGTTGCATAGATGACACCTTTTTAGATGTGGAAAAGAATGTAAGATCATGGTGATATATCTCTCCTGCTTTTACACTTCCAGTGGTGCACTAACATTATTGGCATTTATAATGGTAGGGAATACAAATCCCAATACATGCTGATATCGTGCCACCTATAAGAGAACCATAAGAAAGCATGAAATCCAATACCATATGTTATCTGCAGTGTTCATTAAATCAGTCATAAGTAGAATGAAGAAACTTTTTTTTCTTCTTGAAACTGATCTTTATTGAAGCATAGACAAATGGGAGATTACATAGCAAACACAAAGTTCAAGACAAAAAGTACATCCATAGATACAGAAATCCCTTATCAATGAGAACCGTAACAGGACAATGAGAGGTACATAGAACAGTAATGACCAATACAGAGGTTTGTATTTGAGCATAACAAGCAACACATATAGAGATACTTCCATCGGTAGGTTAGAGAGAGCTATGAGTCTAAACAATAGCAGTTACTGTATAAAAGGGGATTAACAATGGTAGGGACAGCAGAGCCATGTGAGATGAGGTGATCCACAACTAGCTACAACACATGCAGATTAGGGAAAACCCATGTAAAATAAAATCATGTCACAAATGTGACACTCGATTGCATCCTGATTTTATTATATTTGGATGTGCAACCCCTGACAATGTATATAAACTTCTTATAGGGTAAAGTGTTATGTAAGAGTTAAGTATAGGGGGGTTAAGTCCTCATCCAATGTCTTACAATCAGTTTCCTAGGCATGAAAAGGGTTTCATGTAAGAAGATTTTGGTGAATTTGTCAAGGTCTGGGTTGGGAGTAGAGTCCCAATAAATATGGCTTAGGGTGTAGCATTAACGGAGAACCTATGGTATCATGCTGAAATTTCACCACTTAAGTACAAAATCTTTGGATAGTAAGACAATCCCACAACAAGTGATAAAAGGTACCTGGATTAAGATGTGTAGGACAGAGGGAACTGTGGCAACGTCTGTAGCACCCTCTTAGCCAACTAGGGGGAGTATTAGCTCTAATTGTTAGTGAGGAGGACTAAGTAGTAGTCTGGGTGTAATATGCCAGGTGGGTCACATTAAGGTCAGAACTAAGATGCTCTGCAGACCAGCTCTCTGGGATTTCCACCTGCTCTACAAATTTGGAGAAAGATCTAGAAGCAGTGAGTGGAGGTGAGGAGTGGCTGGTTTGTACTCTTAGAGCAGCGGTTCTCAACCTGGGGGTCGCGACCCCTTTGGGGGTCGAACGACGCTTCCACAGGGGTCGCCTAAGACCATCGGAAAACACATATTTCCGATGGTCTTAGGAACCGAGACACCGCTCCTCGCCGCCGCCGCCACCGCCGTCTCCAGGTGTGGGCGGGATGACATGCCGCCCCTGTCATCTGGACACACCTCGAGATCAATCCTCGCCTGTGATTGGCCGCCGGCACTGTAGCTCAGGAGAGGCACACAGGCGGCCAATCACCGGCAAGGAGGTGGAGCTTGGAGAGGAGGATCCGAGCGGCACCGCGAAGATCGAGCGAGTGAAGAGGAGGAGAGCGGCCGGAGAAGGAAGACATCTGACAGGTAAGTGTCGGTACCATGGGAGAGGGAGGGAGCGAGCGAGCCCAGGCTGGAGCAGGGGTCTGCAAGGTAAGTATCATTGGTGTCAGTGGGAATAGTGCCCCATCATTGGTGTCACTAATACCAATGATGGGGCACTATTCCTCCCACTGACACCAACGATGGGACACTATTCCTCCCACTGACACCAATGATGGGACACTATTCCTCCCACTGACACCAACGATGGGGCACTATTCCTCCCCCAAATGACACCAACGATGGGGCACTATTCCTCCCCCACTGACACCAAGGATGGGGCACGATTCCTCCCCCCACTGACACCAACGATGGGGCACAATTCCTCCCCCCACTGACACCAAGGATGGGGCACTATTCCTCCCCCCACTGACACCAAGGATGGGGCACTATTTCTCCCCCCACTGACACCAAGGATGGGGCACTATTCCTCCCCCCACTGACACCAAGGATGGGGCACTATTCCTCCCCCCACTGACACCAAGGATGGGGCACTATTCCTCCCCCCACTGACACCTATGATGGGGCACTATTCCCCCCACTGACACCTATGATGGGGCACTATTCCCCCCACTGACACCAATGATGGGGCACTATTCCCCCCACTGACACCTATGATGGGGCACTATTCCTCCCCCCACTGACACCAATGATGGGGCACTATTCCTCCTCCCACTGACACCAATGATGGGGCACTATTCCTCCCACTGACAGCAATGTTGGGGCACTATTCCTCCCACTGATACCAATGATGTGGCACTATTCCTCCCACTGATACCAATGATGGGGCACTATTCCTCCCACTGATACCAATGATGGGGCACTATTCCCCCCACTGACACCTATGATGGGGCACTATTCCTCCCCCCACTGACACCAATGATGGGGCACTATTCCTCCCCACTGACACCAATGATGGGGCACTATTCCTCCCACTGACAGCAATGATGGGGCACTATTCCTCCCACTGACACCAATGATGGGGCACTATTCCTCCCACTGATACCGATGATGGGGCACTATTCCTCCCACTGATACCAATGATGAGGCACTATTCCTCCCACTGACACCGATGATGGGGCACTATTCCTCCCACTGACACCGATGATGGGGCACTATTCCTCCCACTGATACCGATGATGGGGCACTATTCCTCCCACTGACACCGATGATGGGGCACTATTCCTCCCACTGACACCGATGATGGGGCACTATTCCTCCCACTGATACCGATGACGGGGCACTATTCCTCACACTGATACCGATGACGAGGCACTATTCCTCCCACTGACACCGATGACGAGGCACTATTCCTCCCACTGACACCAATGACGGGGCACTATTCCTCCCACTGATACCAATGACGGGGCACTATTCCTCCCACTGATACCAATGATGGGGCACTATTCCTCCCACTGACACCAATGATCGGGCACTATTCTTCCCACTGATACCAATGATGGGACACTATTCCTCCCACTGATACAATGATGGGACACTATTCCTCCCACTGATACCAATGACGGGGCACTATTCCTCCCACTGACACCAATGATCGGGCACTATTCTTCCCACTGATACCAATGATGGGACACTATTCCTCCCACTGATACCAATGATGGGGCACTATTCCCCCCCACTGACACCAATGATGGGGCACTATTCCTCCCACTGATACCAATGATGAGGCACTATTCCTCCCACTGATACCAATGATGGGGCACTATTCCTCCCACTGACACCAATGAAGGGGGCACTATTCCTCCCACTGACACCAATGATGGGGCACTATTCCTCCCACTGATACCAATGATGGGGCACTATTCCTCCCAATAACACCAATGACGTGGCACTATTCCTCCTACTGCAAAATTACAGTTATGAAGTAGCAACGAAAATAATTTTATGGTTGGGGGTCACCACAACATGAGGAACTGTATTAAGGGGTCGCGGCGCTAGAAAGGTTGAGAACCACTATCTTAGAGGATCCTGGCCAATCCCCAACAGGAGGCTTGACAAGGGGCCAAGACAGCCTTTAAGAGAAACTGAGCCTTCTCATCAGCAGTGGGAAGACAGATTAGCAACTACCCAGGATTGTCTTACTTTAAAGTAGCAGACACTGGATCCCCTGCACATGGATTTCCCCCAGAACAACTGGATTGAGAAAATCTAGGGTCTGGAGATGCTGGATAGCTGTCCAAGAAGAGGATTTTGCTGTTTCAAGAAACTTGTATATAGTTCCAGGAAGTTGTCTTCTGTTTCACAGTTCACCCCTTACCCTATCCAAGTTCTAATTCCCCTAATAAAATCCAAAAAACATGCTTAAGGACTGGGTATTGTCTCCTGAATGCAAATTAATGTGGAAATGCGTGTTGCCTGACTGTACAGGACTATAGGGGGACCCAAAACTCAGCGACTCCTAAGGCGATAGTGCTACACGTCTATGAAGGGTCAATCTGATCGGGGTGAGATAGGTACAATGAAGAATATGTGAGGTGGTCAGATAATTTAGGTGATACAGCCTTACATGTGTCAAGGACCTCACTCCAGTCCTCATCATCCATCTCTCCCACCTCTGCTTCCCAGCATGGTTTAAGCCCATAAGCCAGACTGGTGTCAGATGAGAGAAATAACATGCTATAAATTATGTATATCAATTTTTGAGGTTCCTTCCCCTTAATAACCCCCATCAGAAGGTTGGGAACAGGCTGTGGGTATGAGGAGGAAAACTGGGTCTGTAAAGCAAGGCGGACCTGTAGGTACCTGTGAAGAAACCTTTAAAAATCTATTAAATTGCCTATAAAATTAAATATCCCTTTTTTTTCTCACAGATTGAAAATAGCTCAAATGAATTTGCACTATATATTATTCATGCGTCAGGAGGTAAGCATGCATTAGTCTCAAAAATGGTGTTACTTGTTATAGTTATAGCAAACACTCTTGAAATGTAACTCCAATTTTTGTTATTAGTAGTCAGTCCCATTCACTGGGAATTGTTCAGTAATGTTGAAGACAGTTCTACCACTCGTCCAAATGGCTTCCTCGGTTCTAATGATTGCTGGTAAAATACCCCAGCAGGTATAGCCCCACAGGTAACTCAGCAGTCATAATCCAATCTCCATGATGTCAAGAAATGTGTCAAGGCAAATGTTGATTGTCCAAAAATGTGACAGGGATGTGAAAGTTTCTAAAAACTGCCATGTTCTAATATACATAATACAATCACCATAGTGCCATGACATCTGGAGCTGTTGCTAAATATTTAAGATGATTTTTGCCAAAGTGCTGCACTAATTATGTTAAAACACAGTTATATGGGTAACAGATGGTGTTTAAGGTCCCGAGCTTGTTTAGGGATACTTGTCCTAGTTTGATGTTGATGGCCACTTTCATGCCTGTTCAAAATGTGCACCTTAAAATGTGCACCTCACTGTCCCTTCTATTTAAAGTGTAGGAAGACTGTTAGGTCCTGACCTGCACAGTTCACCCTTCTATGTTGGAGCCTGTGTTGCTGAGTCTTTGCAGTGTACAGGTCTTTGAATTCCTACATACGTATACCTAGTTATTTTGCTTGTGTTCAATTGTGAAAGAACCCCAGAAACACTGTTTGCAGCCTTTATTCATCATTTCATCATTAAAGCAGGGGTGACAGAGAATGAAGTCCTGGGCATGCAATGTACATCCAGATACTCACACCCCCATGCTCTCCAGCTGCTCAATTGCTCAAGCAACACAAATACAGGAGCATGGAAGAATGTATAGGGGGCGGTAACATTTCGAAGGACAACTCCGTTACCAACCCCTATGCATTCCTTGCAGAGGCTGCCATGAGAAAACAGCTAGCAGCTGAGGACACTGTCTATTGGTGCTCAATTCTGACAGCTGTCAGAGCAAGATCCCTTTATGCTGGCTATGAGATCAGGAACTGACGCTACTTCACCTAAGCCTGGTTAAATGCCTGCCCTAGTGCCCTCTGCTTCCCATGCTAATCTATCAGATGATAACTGTAAGTGTACTAAATTGTTTGGTAATAAATCAGTTGCTTTTATTCTAATGTGGATCCTTTCTGTTGTTTGAGCTGCACTGGCTTACCCCAGGTCCTCTTGTGAAAGCTGGAGGATCCTAATACTCCATTAATCTTGATTCCCTTATTGCCTGGCTGGATCTGTCTTGGTGTCATTTGACTTTGGACTGAAGCTGGGACTTGTAGTGTGCTGTGGTGGTTTGTGCAGCTGCTCAATTGCTTTTCAGTCCTAAGCATGCATAAGCGTCATGTTTGATGGTTTTGAAGCTTACACTCGGTTGATGACGTCATCCTTCTTTCCAGAGGAAAGAGGAAGGAGTTTTGTTTCCCCCAGAGGCAGAACAGAGCAGAGTAGTGTGTGTGAGATGAAAAAGAAGGCAAGATGAAGGAGTAGTGTGGGCCTATACTGAGGGGTGCACGTGGAGCGGTCTATGGCCTGAGAGGAACCAAGACCATGATTTTGGGACATATTGGCACATAGCAGCCCCCCTCCATGTTGCTACCCTTGGATGGGACCAGTTCGGAACCATGTGTTTTTTTTCTTCCATAGCTGTGGACTCTACAACTTTGAGGTTAGACCAGAGATATGTCACACAACTGTATTATTCAGAAGGAAGGCTGCACTGAAATATATTTATATCTTGTTTTACTGAGAAAACTGCGCACAGTAAACAAGTTAAAGAAAACTACTGTCTATGTAATTAAAACAGAACTCCACTGACACGCAGACACTTTACCAGGGGGAAACTGTTAAAAACCAGTTTTTGGATAGGAGAAGTGATGATCAGCTGCAAAGGTCATGCAGAATGTAGACTTAAATATAACCCTGCAGGACAAGGTGATGCTTCAGCACATCATCCTTAAAGTAAATAGCAAGGAAGGCGCCTCTAAGTGCAGTATGCAGCAGTTTATTGAGTAGGAAAGGTTAAAAGCACTTACAAGATAGCAGTCAGATAAAAGCTCATCAGGTATAATGCCAGGGAGACACACTGAGCCGACCAGCGGTAGTCAGTGTCTGAGGAAGCAGTGTTTGCACAAGCTCCGAAACGCGTTACCGCCCCCTTGATGTCACTTCCGATGTGTGTGTTCCACGCCACTCCTGGAAGTACAGCGGCCATCTTGCCCGTGTGTTCCACCACACTCACTACCTCTGGCTGGCTCAGTGTGTCTTCCCGGCATTATACCTTATGAGCTTTTATCTTACTGCTATCTTGTAAGTGCTTTTTACCTTTACTACTCAATAAACTGCTGCATACTGCACTTAGAGGCGCCTTCCTTGTGATTTACTTTACTAGAGTCTGCTTCCACTCTTGAAGAGCTGCTCCAGTGCACAGCATGCTCCCATGTCATCTGGTCTCCCTTCCCTCCACTGGATGCCCAAGATCCTTTTCTCTTGGAGGTCATACCATTCCAGAGTGCCCTACAAACATCATTATCTCAGCACATCATCCTTGCACAGCTGCTAAAAAGGGGCCTCCTGTAGGCTGAGGAACTGGTTCAACTTTCCAAATGCTAGGGTGCCACCTCACAGTCCTGGTAATAGGCCTCTGAGATCTTAGGACTACATCCTGGGATATGGTCACATACTACTCCATATCCAGAAATTCTGGGCATTTGCCATGGCTGCTACTGAGCAGTAGAATAATACAGGGAACATGAGTATAAGTGGGTGGGAAGTGAGCTAATAAAAGGACTTCTCATCACTTGGTCCTTCATGGGCAAGGTGACAGATTCTGTTTTAGTCACAGATTCCATTTTAAGAATTCTAAAATTTTAGAATTCTAGTTTGTAACAACCCATGTACATGTTACTTTATTGGACAGTTTGGTTTGGATGTAAATATGGAGAACTATATAAAGAATTCTGAAATAGAAAAAAAAAGTTCTATTTTAATTACAAAAATTAATTGAATACCATGATATCATGTAAACCCATCAAATTTTTAGAAAATAATATTTTTTGCTGGATATTGGACATTTTGATAATGCACATTGCTTTGTTTTTCTTCTACCTAGCATTAATTGTAGATTGTCATGGTGGAATATACAACACTGAAGCCTGTGTAGTTAATTAAGTCATCATACATGATCTAATATAAGGTGTAGGATTTTTATTGTGATGATAAATTGTAGGATCTATAACATAATAAACATTCTAAAAATATATTTATCTTTCAGAGAAGAAAAAGCTAAAGGACACAGACTGCCCTTTGTGGGAGCGACTCTTACAAGGTCCTTCAGGAAGCATAGCAAGGATGTTCCTTATGGACAGAGAGGCAGAAGAGATTAGCAGTGATGTAAGTACTTACTGGTACATTCGTTCTTACTTACTTCTGAGCTATTTAAAGATTTCAAATACATTTTTTATTTTACTCTTTTGGCAGGTAGCACAATACATTAAATTTAGCCTTCCACTTTTAGAAAAAATATTGCAGAGGTTAAACGAGGAGGAAGAAAGGGAAATTCAGAGAACTGTAGATAAGTAAGTATCAGTAGTTTATGTGACACAAGTTCATGTTTTATATTTAAAGTGCATCTGTGCCTGGATTATAGTTCTTAAAGTATTTTATACCGTATATACTCAGACAGCGAGAGGCTGAAAATAACCTGGGCATAAAATTCCAGTTCCCATGCCGTGGAGCCACAGATGCTGCATAAATTCCTTGCAATGCAAGGAAATGCCTGTACGCTTCTGTTTTTGGCGTTTACTGGTTCATACACATACTGTACATCGTATTTCCTGAATGCAGAAGTTTGGAAAATACCTTGTACATGCATGCATGTGTAAATGTTGGGGTACAGAAGCATTGGTGTTAACATGACATCCAGAATTTTAAACCCAACATATATTAAGTCTTTAAGGCATTAGTCCTTAAAATTTCTTTACTGTTTGTTACGAATGTGTACATATTTGAATGTCTAAAGCCGGGCCACGGTTCTACTACAGACTTGGGGCATATGGAGTTTGTTAGGTCTGAGCAGCGTATAATGTACATTTTATTTAAAAATAATATCTCGTGTTGCAGTAGTGTAGGCCATATTGACTGTACCATTCATTTAAATAAAACAAATTTTACCATCTTTCTCTTAATTTTTAGGTACGTCAATGAAAAGTCTATAGTGCTTCAATACCTGAATATGAGAACAGTTAAAAAAACTGAGACTACTGTTTAGCTGTCTACATTTGATAAAGAGAAGGCAAAGTAAACATCTCAATAGCATAGAACTGCTAAGATTCTACAAAAAGAATCACTACAAGATGAAGAGTCACAGAAGATAGAGTTGAAGAGACCTTGAATATTATTTTAAAAACAACATGTGTACCTCAGGCTGCTGAACATTCAAGCAGTGTGATTTATTTAGTAATGTATTCATTTTTAAAGTCTATGTAATAGGATAAGATATGCCTTATTTAAAGAAAAGAGATGCGTACAGGGCCCAGTTTGCCTTGGATAAGGTCAGCCGCCAGCACCATAACAACCAGTGATGCCCTAGGGTAGGCCGTACAGCATCATTCATTTCTATGGCGTTAGCGACCAGCTGGCCCGCACTATTGCAACACATGATGCTGATTTAGGGCAGGCGGCAAGCAAGGCCACCCTGGCATCCTTCTCAACGTCCCGATCACTGCAGGATCCAAGATGTAGGGCTGACAAGACGAGGACTCTGATGTTAAGGGAGGCTCCGATGTGATAAGGAAACCTCTGATGTGAAGTTAATTTCATCAAGGCAGTTGTGTGCATTGTCCCAGGCTCAGGTTTCTCACCGATAAGTGACATTTATGATTCTTACATCTTAGACTGGGGGTGCCTCCTGATTATGCATGCTTCCAAAATATGCCCCAAGTATAAAAAGTTTTAGAAAAGATGGCCTACATTATTATGTGATTCATTTTGGATTTTAATGTTGTTCTTTAGAATTCAGTAAACCATTTGCTATTACTGTATATCAGAGGGCAGCTTAAAAACTACCATTTTTTATACATATGTCATTTGTTATAGAAATTTTAAATATTATACACTCCAAATGGACAACCTTGTCATCGTCTTAACCCTTTTGACGACACCAGTTTTCCATGTGCTGCAATAAATCCAACAATATTAATTATGCCCACCGTAAATGACATTGGCAGAAAAAGAGTTAACCCTTCGCTGTATAAAGTATTTTTAAAGACTGTAAGCTAATGTATTTATTGATTATAACAAATAACAAAAAAAAGTGCTTGTTTGTTGAGCAGTTTAAATACAGACTGGGGAAAAAAAACACTTAATTCAACAAATCACACAACTTTTATTAATAAGTTTATTGGATTTCATATATACCAAGAAACTGGCAGTTAAAACACAACATTGACTAACTGTTTTAGAATGTAGACAGTGAGTATTTTGTCCATTCCATATGAACATGGGTGTACAAAAGCAAAACTGTATGTGTGTGTGTGTATATGTATATATATATATATCTATCAGCGGTGGACTGACAACTCATGGGGCCCCCTGGGCAATAGGGGATCATGGGGCCACTGTGTCCTTGCCCAAACTCAAAAAAGCCTATGAAAAAGGTACCAGGGGCATCTCATGGGGCCCCCTACTGACCCCGGATCCTCGGACAGTGCCCGATTTTCCCAATGGTCAGTCCGCCCCTGATATATATATATATATATATATATATATATATATATATATGTATGTGTGTGGGTGTGTGTGTTTCTGTGTTCCTTAACTGGCTATATTTTTAGAAATAAAATATATATTTTGTGATTATTGATGTGTGTTTTGTGGGATTTCTTTTCCGGCTAGTAGTCTAAGCCAGTGTTTCTCAACCTTTTTTCAGTCAAAGCACCCTTTAAAATTATGGACAATACCGGAGAACCCTTTAAAATTATGGACAGTTTTGAGGCACCCCCTGGCTTGTATACACGTTTTGGGAAATTTTTAGACATTTTGCCAAGGCACCCCTGAAGAAACCTAAGGGCACCCTAGTTGAGAAAGGCTGGTCTAAGCAATGTGGTATGATTAGTCGTATAGGCTGTGATTTCTGGAACTTGTGGTTCTACAGGAGAAATATTAGTTACAAACACAGTGTGCCATGCTGGGAATTGCCTTTATGGTACACTGGATGACTTAACATGCACTCCAAGTGTGCAAACCAGAGCTGATGACATTGTAGCATACTATACCTTCCATGGATACACACTTTACACATAGAGCTCACTCTATCCTATTATTGACATTCATACTAGGAGTTAAAATGCTACCTACCTACCAGGGGATATGTCTTAACACCCCTGCCCCTCAAGGCTTTATCTCTTTTGACAACCACCAAGTGGCAGGTGATGATGAGAAGAAGAGGGAGAGGGGAGCTCTCCTGCTGACTTGCTCTCCCCACCCTCTGTGTACATACAGTTCAGAACTCCTCAAACTGGCACTTGCCCAGTAATGAAGGTACCTTCTTCTGCCCCCCTTTGGTCATGTGATAAATCACATGATAAGGGGAGACAGGAAGAAGGGCAGTCTGCCTACACTCTCCAGCAGGCACCTGTGCTGACAAGGAGCTATTTTCTCAGCAGACATCTGTACCACCCTGGTCACAGGTATACTAGCTGGTAATATAGTGTTTGTGTTGGGATAGGTTTGCAGAAGGTTCTCACATGGTGCCTCTGCCTCTTAGCTGTGGTTTCCTTCAACACTCTTTACATTACTCCTATAATGGCATGCCTATTGCTCATAACTGTCATGGAACATCTGCTGTTCCAGCTGAAGAGGATACTTGAGTTAATTGTTATGAACATCTGCAGAAACATGTGTGACATGTAGTCTATTGCAATAACTGCCTTACATTAAAGTGATTCTAAAGGCTGCTCTTTTTTTTTTTTAACCACTTGCCCTCCAGAGGATTTACCCCCTTTCCTGACCAGGTCATTTTTCGCGATACAGTGCTGCGTTGCTTTAACTGTATAATAATAATAACTGATAATTGCATGTCATGCAATGCTGCACAAAAAAGAAATCTTTGGCTTTTTTCCCCCACAAATAGGGCTTTCATTTGGTGGCATTTGATCGCCTCTGCACTTTTTATTTTTTGCACTATAAAAAAAACAAAAAACAACCTGCCAATTTTGAGAAAAACAAACAATATTTTTTTACTTTTTGCTCTTAAACATGTCCAGTAAAAAAGCAAATTTCGTCAAAAATTTAGGCCAAAATGTATCCTGCTACATGTCTTTGCTAATAAAAATCCCAATATGTGTAAATTAATTGGTTTATGTGAAAGTTATAGCGTCTACAAATGGCTGTATAGACACTGGAATTTTTTTTTATACTAGTAATGGCGGCGATCAGTGACTTATAGCAGGACTGCAGCGGGCATTCTGACACTCGGGGGGGGGGGGGGGGGGGAACTGACTAACTGTCATTGACATTCCCAGTGACACCAATACAGTGATCAGTGCTAATAAAAAGCACTGACCATGTACTAATGGCACTGGGCAGGAAGGGGTTAACATGAGGGGTGATCAAAGGGTTAACTGTGTGCTGTTTTACTATGTGCTGTGTGTTGGTGCTTCAAAGTAATCACACTACTTTGGATGGCTGTGCTCGAGCGGACAGGGAGAATTGTATTGTTTACTTACAGTTCTCCTCCCCATTGGAGATCCTCGTCAATCACTGGGCTCAGGTAAGTAATCACCGGCCGGGACCCGGCGATTGACAGCCGTGGCCGCAAATGGCGCAGGTAGGGCACGCGCGTGCCTCATGCGCACCCCCTACCCAGAAGAGCAAAATCATATATATACATATATACGTGATTTGGGGCACCCGTGCTGCCTTGTAGCAGTATATCTTCTATAGGGCAGTCAGGAAGCGGTTAAACAAACATTTACTGCAGGTGAACCATTCTGATGCATGTGTTTTAAATTACACTGATTGATTCACCTGCACTAAAGGTTTAATAATTGCCACATTAATTGCTTTATAAATATTAAAGGGTTAATTGTGTGCTGTTTCACTGTGTGCTGTGCTTTACACTTTAAGCACACTGCTTTCTATGGCAGTGTGCAGGAACTGACAGGGGAGAGATCTGTATTGTTTACATACAGGTTTCTCCCCCGTCAGTGATACTCGATGATCATTGGGTGCCGGCTCCAGAGAAAAGCCTCCCCCAATTCAGTGGCACTCACCAGATGTCATGGCCCATCTAAATTTGATAGGCAATCGCGCTTGTAGTGAGTGTCATACGTAATAAGGCTATTCAATCACAGCCCCTCAGCAATTAAAGGCTAATTTAATGGTAGGACATCCTCTAAATCATTTACTCCGTCACAAGGAAAGGAAATAAAAGAGAGCACATAGCGTAATACCGCTAAAATCCATTTATTAAATAAGCAGTAATGAACTCACATAGGAAAAGTACAAGCATGCCCAACATCCACAATATCCTCGGAAGTTAATGATATATCATATATGTCTCACCCGGTCCTCCACGCTGCTAGCAAGCGGTATGTCAATTTCAGCAGGGGATGTGAGGTGGATGCCTGTGACAACAATCGTCGTGCAGCCCGACTCTGACACGTTTCGTCACCTGTATATTGGAGGTGACTGTGAGCGCAGGAGAACGTAAAAGCAGCTAGCATAAAAAGGTAAAACCCCAACACCTCAAAACTACAGTAAAAAATAATAAATATGCAGCGCTAGATAATAACATATGATGAACAATAATAAAAAATATGGTATTAAAATTGTATAAATATAAAGTGAGCGCTATTGAGACGCAAAATTGGTGAAGTGATGGCTACGTCTTATATTGACGTATCTATATGACACAAGTTAAATAGTTGAGTGACAATTGTGAATAGTCCGATCAACGAATATAGCAGTCCACAAATAGGTGATCCGTGCTCCGTGGCGGTGTTTTACAGGTGCCGAGAGCCAGTACAACTATGCACTTACCAGAAGCGCATATATAATACGCAATATAAATATATCTAAGGTCATCTAGGTCTGGTCTGGGGCTGCGGGTTCATCAAGCTCAAATGCAGACACTTAGGATGATGCTGCTCACACACAAGGGTCACACTCCGCTCACATACCCATCAGAAAACAGCTCCAAGATATGGCTCCAGATCCAAAGATGGCTGCACCTTATTGGGCTCGTAATGATCAAGCCAGAGAAATGTG